TCAAATCTCTATCACTTTGCATACATTCTTGGGAACAGAAAAAATTACTTAGAGAAAAAACTCTAAGTACAGTGTTCATTCCGTGCAATGGGGCATAAATAAAAGGTTCTGGTGGAAAAGACATTTTATTTTATACCACTGATGACAAGCAAAAAGGTTATATGGGTACCCGGTTAAAAAGATATTCATAACTCTATTAATTAACACCAGTTCTAATTTAAAGGAGAAAGTTATGAGAATCGGTTTTGGCGTGTTTGATTTAGGCGAACCGATAAGGTGTCATTCAAGTCTCCCTGTTTCCTTGATTGATACGTGATGTTTACGAAAGTCGCCTCGATAGATAAGATAGAGTAAATATACATGGCTGTGGTATTTGTTTTTTGCTGAGTTCCGTAGTTTTTTGTAAATTGTCCTCCAAAGTTGTATGAAATTAAAGTCTTGAAAAGTGTCACGACAAGCCTTCGCTCGAGTGAAATTTAATTTCCGTAAAACTCTGAAAAATAAAGAGATCCGATCAAACTGATTGTGGTTTTAGTATAGGTACATGAATGTCTTACAACACACGAAAAACGAGCGAAATCCGTGTCTCAAGCAAAATCGACCGGACCGCTCTTACAGAGACACTCTCTTAACAGTTTAGTTGTTGCGTAGGAGGGCTTTGTTTCTGCGGCGGCAGGAAGACACGAGGTCATTACGTTTGTTTAGTGTTGATAGTTCGGGTCGACAGATGATTACGAATTTTTCTTTGATGCAGAGATTACATCTTTTACTTGAGCTGTTGTACGGCGAGTGTGATGAGAGAATGCACCAGTGCTCGATGTTGTTGTCTTTGAGGGTTCAGATGTGCTTGCAGAGTTCGGTGGAGTTTCTGTGTTTAGCGTGGCGTAATGATGCGGTGTGGTTTCTGTATCTTGTTTTGAAGTCGTTCTCTGTGAGTCCGATGTACGTTTCTCTCGTGTTGTTGTCTTTGCGTTTGACGGTGGCTTGGTAAACTACTGATGGTTGCAGGCAGTTTCCGTCGAGCGGGCATGCGTTCTTTTGTCTGCAGTTGCATGCCTTGTTATTAATGGTAGCGGCGGCGGCGGTATCATCAGCCTGTATAGATGCGGTTAGGATGCGTTTGTTATGGTTGGTGATTATTTGTTTCGAGTTGTTCATGCAGCTGTAACTGATCTTGATGGTGTTTTGGTTGAATATTTTTCTGAGCTTGTGATCTTTAGGAAAGTGCTTGTCTACTAGGGCGAGGAATTTGTGTCCGATGTTGGCACTGGTATTCTTGCTAAAAGGAGGGTTGTACCAGATGATGTTATTGCGTTCTCGGTTTTTCCGTTTGCTTGTTTTGGCTGGTTCGTACCATAGTGTGTAGTGGTATCCACTTTCGTCGAGTGCTTTCTGGTATGGAGGGCGGCTTGGTCAAAGGATACTTTGTCAGTTGATAGGGACGACAGTCGTTTGTTGATGCCGGTGGGAATGTTCTTTATGGCGATTGGCGGGTGGTTGCTCTCGCGGTGAACGTATTCCAGTGAAGTATTCGGCTTCGTAAATGGCTGATAAGTGCTTCGCTTAAGAAATGTGACGTCTAAGAAGTCGATTATTTGTTTGTTAGCTTCTATGGTGATGCGCAGACCGTTATTATTAAAGGTGCGACATATTTCTCTTGATGTTCTCTGTGTTTAGGTGTAGCGTTAATGATGGCTAGTCTGTCGTCTCGGTAAAATCCTACCTATATATTAAGATCCTGGAGTTGGGAGAGCAGAAAGCTTCCCACGAATTCACATGTTTCAGCGCCGTCGTAGCTTCTCATTGTTAAGTAGAATGTTGTGTTGCCTTTCTTTTGCCAGGGTAGGTGCTTGTGGATTAAGTTGGAGTTTATATATATATATATATATATATATATATATATATATATATATATATATATATATATATATATATATATATGAATGAATGTGGGGGTAGAATCTACCTTGGTATAAAGTGCTTAATGCTGTGGTAGCAGAGCTAAGTATACATAAGTTAAAGAATTAAAGAGGACGCATCGATTCTCTGTGACTCTGGGTTTCGCGTCTAAGCGCTCGTCAGACCGAACTTTCTGTCTGACGAAAGCTTTGGCGCGAAACTCAGAGTCACATAGAATCGATGCGTCATCTTTAATTCATTTACTTATGTATGTATATATATATATATATATATATATATATATATATATATATGTATGTATATACATTTACTATTCAATTTCATGTTTTTAGGTTGTTAAAGGTATGATACTCTTTTATCGCCGCTGTATCTTTGCTTCTGGTGTATTATATTTTTCAGAAGCGCAGTGAGTCAGAGGCTAGCTGCGGCAAGTTGAATCGATAATTTGTCTTAACAACTTGTTCATGATCACAGCTGACACAAGAATTTTCAACCATTAGTTTTAGATTGAAGCAGTTGATGGATGTTTTCCCAAGATAGCTTCTATCACTAATCTCTGGGGTCTCATTTGGGTGATAATTATGTTTGTTTTAATTTTTGTTTTTCTTTTAATAAAATTGAAAGGAATCGAAAGGGAAAGAGGTTGCGCCTTACTCTTTAAATATCCTTTAAATATGCTTTAAATCTTTATTAATGAATGAAAAGTTTTTTATCTACTCTTCCTTTCATTTGCTCAGACGCATTCAGCCTTTTAGTACGTAGTTTATTTAGCAAAATCAACAAGTTAGCTCTGCCTGTATCACTGTTTGACGAACATAATAATTTTTTTTCTTTTTCTCCATGGCTGAGTAGGTCATCATGTAATCTTAAAGATAGATGCCTCAAGATCTCAAGCTGTACTTGACAAAATATATGCGCAAAATAAAAATAAAAATCTGATGCTATGATACTAAAGGGACTCCAGACACTCTTTTCTCATCATTTTCTCTCATCTAACCCTAACCGTATAAAAAAAATGGTTTTCAATAGAGAGAAACACCTATTCTAATTTGCAACTCTCTCTTCATCTACGATAACTTTGTTTACTTTGGTTTAATGTGAATAAGAAAAAATTTTTAAAAAGAAATCATTTTTTGTATCACTAATGTATTACTGGAAACCCGGAGAGCATTAAATTTTTGTCGTTCAATATTGAGACAAATTTGAAGAACTGCGCCTTAATAAAAGATATTTTTCTCTGCACACTTTAGTAAAAGGGAGTCTGCTATTTGAGAATTAACAACTGTCTTCAGTTAAGCTTGACGCTTACAGCTGACGCCAACATCCAGATGTCCCGAAGACTAAAATCGCGTACATAAAGCTTTGTTACTAAATTTGAAGTATGTTCTCGCTATCTGTGAGATTTATAGCTAGAAATGATGAGTTTTTGTTCGAGGATAACGAATTTATTCATATTTTTCTGAGCCATCTGCAACATCCGATACATTTTAATAATAATTTTTGTTTGCTTTTCAAAACATAACCAGCGAGCTAGAAGCTTTGGATCGGATCTAATAATGGAATCGGGGAATTGTATTTTTGTTGTGTTAAAATATTAGTTCTTCCCTAACTTAAAAAAAAAAAAAAAAGTCGACGATTCATTCATGAAATTCGTCTTATTTGACTTCAAAATGATAAAAATGAATAAGGTATAAAATCAAAGAGTTTACATCAGCAAATCTGATATATCCGTTTGGGGTAACAGTGCCGAGAAATTATCATTCGTAAATTGCCATCTGCCCTCAACGGAAATACTGCAACAATTGAAGAAAGAAAAATTAAACTGCTTCAAAGATAAAATTATGTAAAGATACCTGACATTTTTATCTTCCCCCGAAAGTTTCCTTGATTTTCCTTCACATTTTGATGTTATGTACTGTATGTATATCATAACACAAGACAATTCCAAACAAACTTAATTAACTCTCCTGTTTTTTAGCTGAAATTGGAAACCACTTAAAACAATCTGTACTTCACTCAGATAAGCCATTAGGTTGTTTTACTCTAAAAGCATTTATGAAGAGAGATATTCTGGCAGAGAGGATAAAAGTTTTGCTGCCCCCAAATTTTCATCATCTCAGATTGTTGATATCACTAACAAAGAAACTTTGTTAGTTATAATTTCTCTTTTAAAAAACTCTTTTGAGAAATAAGATAAAGCATATTCATCCCTGGGTTGAAAATTAGCGCAAAACAAAACTACAAATTTGGCGCGATATCGCTTCCCGAAAATTCAGGCATTTGTTAGCATTTTCTATTGTACTTAGAGATAAGTTCACAAATATTAGACATTATGAAAATAAAATCGCACATTTTTTTCCATTTGCCAAAGAATATTGAAATAAAAGCAGGATTTTGAAGGCTATCTTAAAACCTATTGCCTTTTATGAGGAAAATCACTTTTGGTTGGGATGTCGAGAAGATAAGCTAAATGTTTTAAATGTGAGACATAATAAACTGAATAACTTCGAATCTCCTTTTTACCAACTTAGACCACCCGCAGGCTTTCCGGCAATTTGATATAACAAAGAAAAATATATGAAAAACACATCAGAACAGAAATTGAGTGAACCACAATAATCTACAGGAATTGATTTGCAACAGTGACAAACATTAAAAATTTAAAGGTGAGTAAAGCTAATATTCTTTGACTGAAGAAACGCTTTGTTTTTTGTGTAAAGAACTATCTCGTAAAAAACCGGTCGCTAAAAGGTTACGCCGCCAACTAAGGAGGGTAGCTTAGTAAATTATATTATCTTCAATTTCAAAAACCCAGACAAAAAAAATGTAATAAAAGAGAGAGACAGAGAAAATAAGGAGAAAACCTGCGCTAAACACAAAATCTTCATAGTCACCATATTTTTCCGATTGTGGAGCTGAGACAAAATTGTTAAGAGACTTAACTATAACTGGATAGCGCTGAAGATAAGCCACCCTCAGCAATTAAGGAAAAAAAAGATTGGAGAAATAAAACAGGATATCTGTAAAACAATGGGCTAAATTACGCCCACTGAAGTAATGCGTCCAGATGTGTCCTTTCTATTCAATGAACAGAGCATAGCAGAAAATTTAAAGTAACCACGGAAGAGTTTGGCAATCAAAAGTTCTGAGCAGTGATAAGAGAAACACCAGCCATGAATCGAACAACAGCAATATTTGGTCTCTTTCTCATATTTGTGGCGATGCATGAACTGGAAGGCTTTACCGCTGGTATTGGCAATGCGGGACTCGGAAAACGTGACTACGTTTCAAAGGTAATACAAATTGTTCTAAAAATATAATCTCTTGAGTTGCCGTCAAGCTTTTAAAAAATTTCTTAAGAATTATTATTGCAGTGGTAAAAACTTCTATTTGCTTAGCCAATTCCATTATTGACATAAACCTCAGCCCAGTGCAAAATAAAGACTCTAAAATTGGTTGTCTTTTATTGAAAACGAGATTTGACTTTTTAAAAATTACATACGCAAGATTATTAAACTGTGTGTACGCGAATGTATCGATAAGATTGGTGCTAAGGCTCCATACAATTACTTTGCAAT